TCTCTCTCTCTCTCTCTCTCTCTCTCTCTCTCTCTCTCTCTCTCTCTCTCTCTCTCTCCCCTCTCTCACTCTCTCTTTAAAAAAAAAAATATGTTTATAGTATCCATCCCATTCCTAAGTATTTATCCAAGAGAAAGAAAAAATTGTGTTCACGCAAATATTTGTTCATAGAGGTTTTATTAGTAATGGATGAAAAGTGGAAACAACCCAAATATCCTTGACAGTTCAGAGGATAAACAGTAGTACATTCATGTAATAAAATAATATTCTGCACAGTCGCACATTCATATAATAAAGTACTACTTTGCAATAAAAGGAATAAAATACAGACACAAGCAACACCATGAATCAAAAGGCTACATATTGTATATATGACATTCTGGACAAGGCTGGACTGGATATTCCTGTAGCTAAGGAATATAGGTAAGTGGTTTCCAGGAATTAGGGGCTAGGGAGATGTTGACTATGTAGAGTCAAGGGGATATTTTGGAATGATGGAACTATATCTTGATTATGACTACACAAGTGTATGTTTATCAAAACGTAGTAGAAGCCAGTCGCAGTGGCCCACACCTGTAATCCCAGCAGCTGGGGAGGATCGAAAGTTCAAAGCCAGCCTCAGCAACTTATGGAGACTGCTAAGCAACTCAGTGAGACCCTGTCTCTAAATAAAATACAAAATGGGGCTGGGACATGGCTCAGTGGTCAAATGCCCCTGAGTTCAATAAGCTGTAACAACAAAAAAAAAAAACTTAGTAGAACTGTGCACTAAAATGGTAAATGTTACTGTATTTAATTTATACAATGAGCATATTTTAAAACTATCCCAAAAATAAAACATGATTGAAGCTAATTACTATTTACCTCAGTCACCACACAAATTCTAATTCCCCAGTTTCTGATACTCCATATATTCCTCAATCTGACCCAATTCCGTGCATCTCTCCCAGTTGTTCAAAAACTTTCTGTTGAGTTTTTGGAAACTCACTTTATCAGCAAAATCTACTAATGATTTTTATCTCATCTTCCCTTTGCCTTCCTTCTTTAATTGGAAGATAGAGAGCGACTTCTCCTACAGCCCTCTCTAAAAGTGGACATGCTTTTCTCTTACATCTCATGTCACAGGATTGACTCATGAAATACAGGACATTAATCTTTGATCTCTTGCAACTGCAAGACTATTTCCCCTCTGTTCTTTGACAGAAATCACACACAAAATCTCATGCCAAGGCAAATTCTTACTCTCTCTCTCCCTCCCTCCCTGCCTATGCAATAATATCATTGTGAACGTTCTTTAAATTTATTATCACTGATATTGTTAGACCAGGACGCAAGAAAAGACCACTGACTCCAATTAAAATCAAATTAAAGCAAGCTTATTATTTCGACCGGCCGGGCTGCCTTTCCCTCCCAAAACGGCGGGAACAAGACAGCAACCCCACCTTTCCTACAGCCCAGCTTTATAGCCCAGCAAGTTACACAAAAGGGGGGTTACAGATAACAGAACTCTGACAAGCATCACACTAATGGTAGTTTACATTTTTTTTTTTTTTTTTGCTGGCCCCAACATCAGAATTTATGAGGACCATTAGAGCCTCAGAGAGGGTCGTTGTCTGGCCAGGGAAGGCCAATATTTATGAGGTGTCACTAAAGTTTCAGAGAGGGCTGCTATCTGGTCAGAGAGCCAGGCATGGGTGAGTTCAAGGCACGGGCAGGCMTTCCAAGCAGGTTCAGAATTTGCAGTAATTTATAGTAAAGCCGAAATTAGCTTTTCATGGCTTTGTGGCAAGATGGCTCCCAATTTTAATAAAAGATCAGGTTGGGTCTATCAATATCAGGTGGACCTCAGCCCTTAGGTTTTGCTCTCTGTTACTTTCCTAAATAACTGTTTTACACTATTTTCTCTCAGCTCATACCAATACTCCTCCCCTACTCACCATAGCCAATAGTATCACTTTTTTTTTTTTTTTGTAGGAAAAAACATTGTCAGAGTAGAATTGCCTCTTCCTATCAGAACAAAATCTACCCCACTACAGTGGGTAGAAGTTCACCTACATTATCTTCCCTTCGTGTAACAGTGGACAAACTACATGCTCAACTCTAAAGTCAGCCCTCTTATTCGTCCACTAGATATCATCTTGTCAAGTACTTTGCTTTAGCAGTTATCAGATCACTTTCCCAAATGGTCATTTTCTTGATCGGTACAGAAGTATTCTATTTATGGATGTCAAATAAGCATCTCAAATTTAATGTGTCTAGACCAAGACCATTTCCTTTCCCAGTCCTTTCTATTTCACAAAGACATTATCTTTCATCCACATTCTCAGACAGGCAATCTGGGAATCATACTTGACTTCTTTTCCACATACTCAATATCCAATCAGAGCCAGGCATGATAGCACATGGCTGTAATACCAGTGATTGCCATGAAGGGGATTGATTGAGACCAGAGTATCACAAGTTTAGGGCCAGCCTCAGATATTTAACAAGGCCCTAAGCAACTTTGTGAGACCCTGTCTCAAAATTTTTTTTTTTTTAGTTTCTTTTAAAGGGCTGGGGATGTGGCTCAGTGGTAAAGGGCCCCTGGAATTTTTTTAAATCCTTGGTAAAACACACACACACACACACACACACACACACACACACACACCACAATCCAATCAGCAAATTCTTTTGGTTCTACTTTCAAAATATATCCTGAACACAAACACTCTAAGCTAATCCTTTATCATCTAATAACTATTAATCACTATCTATTAACTACTGAAGTACTCTCAATTATATTCCTGCTTCTTCTCTTGCTCTATTAACATGTACACTCAAAATTCCTTCATCCTCAGTACCTCAGATTAGAGGCTCTAAAGAGGTAAATTACTATTAAATTAGGTCAGCATGGTGGGACTGTCTTTATAAGAAGAGGAAATTACAACATAGAGACACACATAAAGAAGACCATGTGAAGACAGTGGGAGAAGACAGACATTTGTAAGACAAGAAGTCTTGCTGACACCTATTTTTTTTTTTTTTTGGTAGTGCTGGGGGTTGAACCCAGGTCCTTGTGCATGCAAGGCAAGCACTGTACCAACTGAGCTGTACCCCCAACCCCATCCTTTTTATTTATTTATTTATTTATTTATTTTTTAAAGAGAGTGAGAGAGGGGAGAGAGAGAGAGAGAGAATTTTTTTTTTTAATATTTATTTTTTAGTTCTCGGCGGACACAACATCTTTGTTGGTATGTGGTGCTGAGGATCGAA